CCTGAACAACATGGTGAAACCCTGTCTCTACTAAAAATACAAAAATTAGCTGGGTGTGGTGGCGTGCACCTTTAGTTGCAGCTACTTGGGAGACTGAGGCAGGAGAATCATTTGAACCGGGGAGATGGAGGTTGCAGTGAGCCGAGATTGCACCACTGCATTCCAGCCTGGGCAATAGAGGGAGACTCCATCTCAAAAAAAAAAATAAACTAAATAAATTACCCAGTGGGCAATATTCTGTTAAAGCAGCACAAAACAGACTAAGACGGTAGGTGAGGACATGGAGAAACTAAAATCCTCATACATTGCTGGTGGGAATGTAACACCCTCAATAAGTTAAATATAGAATTACCATATAACCCAGCAATTCTACTCCTACCTAGATATCCAAAAGAAGTGAAAACAGATAAGCAAAAAATGTGTACACAAATGTTCATAGCAGCACTATTCACAACAGCAAAAAGGTAGAAACAACCCAAATGTCCATCGACTGACAATGCATAGTATCTATACAACAGAATATTATTCAGCTGTTAAAAGGAATGAGCTACTAATACCTACTGCAATGTGGATGAATCTTGAAAACATGCTAAGTGAAGGAAGCCAGAAGCAAAAGCCACATACAGTATGATTCTATTTGTAGAAAACATCCAGAATAAGTAAAGCAGTGTAATGAGTAGTGTCTGCTTACTGGGTATGGAGTTTCCTTTTGGGGTGATAAACATTTTCTAGAACTAGATAGTAGTGATGATCATACAACATTGTGCATATACTAAATGCCAGAGACTTACATAGTTTGAAGTTATTTCAGTGGTAAATGGTAAATTTTATGTATAGTTGACAATCAGTAACAAAAAAAAAAAAGTGGGATTATATCTACTCACCCATGGGTCTTATAAGACATGATGAAAAAAATGGTCATGGAAGGCTTTGGAAAGGCATTAGGAGGCTGCCGAGCTCAGCGACGTGGACCCAGGCAGGGTAGTGAGGGCAGAGCCAGGGCTGGAACTCAAGCCCTCTGATTCCCATTCCAGGTGCAAACAGCAGTCGTGAATCACAGCTTTTCTACCAGGGTCTCACTTAGGTAACAAGTGATGAAATTGGGTCACTGGTCAAAAGGGACCAGATTAATGACAGCAGGGCAAGAGGCATGAGAGGTGGTGGGAGGGCAGCGTGCACTTGCTCAGAGGGCAAGGGGAGGCAGCCCTTCTCTTCCCCACTGCTCTGGACTTGCCAGCTCTGCCGGAGGGAGGGGACCAAAATAGCACCACCCTTCCAGGCTCAGGCTGTCAGCCAAGTGCCAGTTTGACCTTTCTGCAATGCTCCCTGTGCACTGGGGCAGAAAGGAAAACATAGCCATCAGCTTTCCTTTTGAGATTAATTTTGAGCTGAGGACTGAGGTACCCTGGAAACTCAAACCAGCCTTATGCTCAAAGAGGGCAGCCGGAAGAAGCCTGTCCAGGGGAGGTGAGGGCCCTGTCTCCTTAAGTTACAAGGCATCTGGAAAAAGTCGCAGCTCAGAGTATGCAAAGGCCTGGGCATTCATCAGCCTCCAGGAGGGTGTGGCAGGAGAAAAGAAAGAGGCTGCAATCCAAGGCAAGACACAGTCATGGCAGCCTAAAGATTCAAGCCAAGTTCACCCACAACACCCTAGAAAATGGAGAGCAGGCCGGGCGCGGTGGCTCACGCCTGTAATCCCAGCACTTTGGGAGGCCAAGGCGGGTGGATCACGAGGTCAAGAGATCGAGACCATTCTGGTCAACATGGTGAAACCCCGTCTCTACTAAAAATACAAAAATTAGCTGGGCGTGGTGGCACGTGCCTATAATCCCAGCTACTCAGGAGGCTGAGGCAGGAGAATTGCCTGAACCCAGGAGGCGGAGGTTGCGGTGAGCCGAGATCTCGCCATTGCACTCCAGCCTGGGTAACAAGAGCGAAACTCCGTCTTTAAAAAAAAAAAAAGAAAATGGAGAGCAAGTAAAGATAGAGTTTTTGTGTTTTTTTGTTTTTTTTTTTTTGAGACAGGACCTCACTCTGTCACCCAGGCTGGCATGCAGTGGTACAATCATGGCACATTGCAGCCTCAACCTCCCGGGCTCAAGTGATCCTCCTGCTTTAGCCCCCCAAGTAGCTGGGACTATAGGTGCATGCCACTGCACCAGGCTAACTTTTTTATTTTTGGTAGAAATGAGGTCTCCCTGTGTTTCCTAGGCTGGTCTCCTGGGCTTGAGCAATTGCCTGCTTTGGCCTCCCAAGTACTAGGATTCCAAGCATGAGCCACTGCACCCTACTGACAGTGAGTGTCTTTTGATGCCTTTAGTATCAAGGAGAAAAAAAAAAGTGAGTGGCTGCAGAGGAAGAACTGGGGAGAAGGCCCAAAGCAGATCCAAGCTGGCCCACTCACCCACTCCCTGCCACGGGAAAAACAGGGTCACTGGCGGGGCTCTCTGGGCGCTAGAAAACGGCAAGAAAGGCTGAGCCCCACATCTAAAGCCTAATTCCCTCTGTGACGCCCAGGTCTCACCTGTCCCCCAGGCCAGGGATGCCAACCAACTGGATGATGTAGATCCCTATTTGACAAAAAAATACAAAGAAGAACACAAAGAAGCTGAAAGAGTTGTCGGACCTGTGGAGAGAGGGAAATGAGAAGTCACAAGAGGGCTTGGCCAAGTTCCCCGGCACCCTTACGTGGTGTGACATTTCTCCTCACCAGGAGCCAGGAGGCAGCACGGGCAAGAGACAGAGCTCCAGGGGCCCAGCCACACCACCCATAAGGACACACAACCCACCCCACTCCACCATAATCAAGAAGAGCTTGCCTTTCACTGCCTTCCAATTTAAGGGGTCAGTGCTTGACCCCTTCCTCAAAGAGCTGATAAAGTTGCTCCCCCAAAGGACAATATAAAGAGCGTAACACTTCTGCAGTGAGCCAAGATGGCACCACTGCCCTCCAGCCTGGGCGACAGAGTAAGACTCTATCTCAAAAAAGCAAGTAAATAAAAAATAAAGAGCCTAACAGTCCATCTCCTGGAATACCTGCGTTTCATAACAGACAAGAAAAACAAAGCCAAAGGTATAAATCTCTAATAATAAAACTGTATTACATCAGGAATTTGAGACCAGCCTGGCCAACATGGCAAAACCCTGTCTCTATTAAAAATGCAAAAATTAGCCAGGCGCGGTGGCTCACGCCTGTAATCCCAGCACTTTGGGAGGCCAAGGTGGGTGGATCACAAGGTCAAGAGATCGAGACCATCCTGGTCAACATGGTGAAACGCCATCTCTACTAAAAATACAGAAAATTAGCTGGGCGTGGTGGCGCGTGCCTGTAATCCCAGCTACTCAGGAGGCTGAGACAGGAGAATTGCCTGAACCCAGGAGGCGGAGGTTGCGGTGGGCCAAGATCGCGCCATTGCACTCCAGCCTGGGTAACAAGAGCGAAACTCCGTCTCAAAA